GGCTTGCCCCGCTTGTAAGGGATCCAGGTGCTGTCGCTGGCCTCGTCGCCGGAAGAGATGGAGCGAGCCGGCCCGGGGCTGGAACTCTGGAGGGGGACAGCGGGAAAAGGAATTGGCACAAGCCCCAGTGTCTAAACCTCGTAGGCAACCTTGGACGTTTCTGCGCTGGAGTGGAAGGGAGAGAAATCCTCCCTCCCCCCGGCACAGCTGATCCATTTCCAGCCCGGTCAGGCTGTCTCCCCCAGCCCTCAGACAGCTGTGTACATCTGCCCTCTCCCAGCCTCTTCCCTGACACTGCAGGGGCTCTCACCCATGTGACAGTGGGGACTGGATTCCCTTTGTTGTGCTGCATGTGAGCTCTACTGTCCTATAGTAACCGCGTGCCTCAGTTTCCCTGTCTCACATCTGTTCGGGAGGGCGATGGGAATTTCGGGGGTGACTCCCTCTGATGGACACATGTACACATTGGCCCACGCCCTTCGTGAGCCCAGGAGGTGACCCCGGAAACAGGACAAAGGCCGGGGGAGGAGTCTGGCTGGGACCAGGCTGCTGGGAGCAGGTGAGTCTCAGCTGGCTTGGGGCACAGGAAAAGAATCGGGGCCCTAGCTCTGGGCTCCCCTCCCCCCAAGATGGATGGGACTGACTGACTGGGCTGACAAGTCTGTCAGCTACTAACCCTCCCATTCTACCTGCCAGCTGAGTCACGTCTGGGGGCGCGGGAACTCCCCCACACTTCGGTGACTCTCCGAAACCCATCCTCTGCCAGCTCACCTCCTGGAGGAGCTGAGGCCTGCTCCACACACCCACGATCTCTGTCACGTCCGAGCTGGGGCTGGAGTCGGTTTTACTCGCCTCGCTGTAGGAGAGGTAGCAGTGGTCCAGCGAGAAGGCGGACTGGAAGAGATTGAGGGAATTCAGAGTAAGGATGGGAAGGACTCGCCGACTAGCCAATGCTTATTGGATAGCTGACAGGATAGTCGACTAGTTGCTTCCCCCCCTTGCTGCCTCTATTAGATAAAGGCACCATGTGGCATTTCAAAGGGGGAGCGCAGCATGGAGCCCTGGATCAGCTGTGTGGCGCTGCCCCTTTGAAACACCACGGCGGCGTTTCAAAGGGGCAGCACCTCACAGCTGATCCCAGGGCAGGGAGCCTAAAAGGGGCAGCACCTCACAGCTGAACCCAGGCCAGGCTTTGTGCTGCGCCTTTGAAACACTACAGAGGCATTTCAAAGGAGCAGCACCTCACAGAAACACCTGTGATTAATGCATTAATTTTTTAATGTGTTAATTCTGCCCTGCGTTAATCGCAGGCTTAACGCACATTAATCAGCAGCGAGGTTAGGGAAACTGCCGTCTCGTAGCCCTGGACGGGGGCTCGGGAGAGCTTGGCTCTATTTCCGACCCTGCTGGGTGACCTGGGCTCAGCCGTGTCCTTGCTCTGTGCCTCGGTTTCCCCATCCGGAACACGGGGGTAGTGTTACTGGCCCTCCTTTGCGCAGCGCTGGGAAACTGATGAATGCAACGAGCTAAGGGCCTCCCCCCACCACCTACCTTTCTCAGCAGGGTCCCAGCCAGGCTGTCGGAGGAACCAGCCGACTGTGGGCTCAGACACACGTCTTCAAATAAACCTGCCCGAGACCAGGACAAACCCCATCAAAACAAGTAACCTCAGAGCAGACCCCTCCCGCCGCCTTCCCCCGTAAGGATCTGGGCAGGAAAAAGGGAGCCTGTGCCCCTAAATCATGTGGCCGGGGAACAATGGTTTTAACGACTTCCTCTTGCCACGTGCCCTTCTCCACACACGCACCAGCCAGCCCCTAGGGGCCTGCCCACCACGCTGGGCTGGTCTAGATGCCCCCGGGGTTAGCTCTGAACTAGCTAGCTCAGATAAAGGTGGCAGGGAAGCTACTCCTGAGATGCTGGGCGTGGTGGGTGACTCGCCACACTGCCGTGGAATCCCTGCCGATGGCCATCCATGCCAGGAAGAGCAATCATAGAATCACAGAATACTAGGACTGGAAGGGACCTTGAGAGGTCGAGTCCAGTCCCCTGTCCTCATGGCAGGACCAAGTACTGTCTAGACCATCCCTGCTAGACATTTATCTAACCTACTCTTAAATATCTCCAGAGATGGGGATTCCACAACCTCCCTGGGCAATTTATTTCAGTGTTCGACCACCCTGACAGGTAGGAACTTTTTCCTAACGTCCAACCTAAACCTCCCTTGCTGCAGTTTAAGCCCATTGCTTCTTGTTCTATCCCCAGAGGCCAAGATGAAGAAGTATTCTCCCTCCTCCTTATGACACCCTTTTAGATATGGCCCCATAGATCACATTTCAAAGTATAGAAAAGTATTTATCAATATTTCTTGGCTGCTCTCTCTCTCTCTCTCTCTCTCTCTTCTTTCTTTCTCACACTCATGCCCACGCCCACACTCATCATCTGGAGGACCGGGCTTATTAGCGTGTGCACACAGAATCTGTCAGGAGAGACCCAGTCCTTTACACCGCATCTTGTTGCTTTAACATGTACATTTCTTGGATTCCAAAGACAAAAATGCATTGCAAATGGGGCTACCATAGATTCCTTCCGATTTTAAATCCAACATATAAAGGTTTCAGAAACATCCTCCTACCTATGGCACAGATTTCTGTACCGATTCGAATCTCGCTCCGTGAGCATTTTGTCCTCCCCCGCTGCCTTTCCCCTTACCTGTTTGTGTATGGACGGCAACTTAACAATCTTACCAATAAGCCTAATTTATATTCCTCAGATGGGCCTTTGGGATTTTACCTCAGACCATTTCTCCAATTTGTCCAGATCATTTTGAATTGTGACCCTATCCTCCAGAAGAGTGGCAACCCCTCCCAGCTTGGTATCATCTGCAAACTTAATAACCCTACTTTCTATGCCAATATCTAAATCGTTGATGAAGATCTTGAACAGAGCCGGTCCCAAAACAGACCCCTGCTCCAATGTGAGCGTGGGAATGCCTGCGCCCGCACCCTGCCTACGCACACCGCTTGCAGCAGCTGGGGGCCGGAGGCTGTGCACAACGTCTGACACAGTCCACTTGGGCGCTTCTGTTAGCAGGAGAGTCGTGAGCCAGACACAAGGAGCAACTCTTCCGCTCTGCTCCGCGCTGAGGCCTCAGCTGGAGTCGTGTGTCCAGTTCTGGGCGCCACATGTCAGGAAAGATGTGGAGAAATGGGAGAGGGTCCGGAGAAGAGCAATAAACATGGTTACGTATCAGAGGGGTAGCCGTGTTAGTCTGGATCTGCAAAAGCGACAAGGAGTCCTGTGGCACCTTAGGGTGTGTCTAGACTACAGGGTTTTGTCGACAGAAGGCGCTATTGCATGTACACTGTCCTTTGCGTCTACACTGTCATGTCGACAAAGCGGCTTGCTTTGTCGACAGAACTGGCTGTCGTCTAGACACTCCTTGTCGACAGA